TGAGAGAAGAGTGGCAAGCTCGAGAAGAAAGAAGGCCTTTGAAGATGCGGAAAGCGTACAAATGAAGGGAAAGAGAGGTGGAGAGACGATGATAAGAAAGCAGGGGAAAGAAGACAAGAGAAGAGAGAGGGTGAGTGAGTGAGAAGGGAAAGGCGGTGATGGAACCAAGTGGAGAGGGATGGATAGATGGCGGATGGTGGATGGTGGATGGGCCATGGGATAAGACAAGACAGCCCAGGACATGATTGTTCATACTGTCCAGTCCAGTACCTACACCCATTTCCAAGGCCGACCCCTTCCAAGGCAGGCGAGACAGCGAGTGAGAGCCAGGTCTAGAATTGACGGGGGTGTACTTGGAGAGGTTGCTTGCTGCAGAGTGCAGCTCCACCTGCCCAGGCCCCAGGATTAGAGAAGGCCGGGCCCACTAGCTAAAGACATGCTGTCGTACCTTGCGTGCTGTGTTGTTGCTTGTACCGGACTAGCCGGGGTTGGTAGGAGGAGGTAGGTAGATACTAGGTAACTAGGTAGGCACAGGGGAGATGCAAGCCAAGTACTGTGCTCTGCTGTGCTGTACTGTACCGTACTGTACTGTAGGATGCAGACGACACACATGGCAACGCAGCGACGACTACGACTACGACAACTACGGCAAAGCGGACAGGTCAGGTACACGGAATTACAAGATGCACTGTGACCCTGTGTGCCGTTCGTTCGCTCCATTCAGGTGCCTCAAATGTTGGGGGAGGCTTGGGCGCCAGCAAAGAAGGAATGGCGCTACCGTGGGACGATACCACGACGGGCAAGGGAGGGAATGGGCGGCATAAAGAAGTCAATCAAACAGAAGCAGCGATCAGAAACATTGATGGCCCAGGATTGGTGACTGATGATACCCCTTCGTCTCAGAATTAGGAAGCATTGCAACGCCAGACAGACATCCAAAACATGACGACAGAAATGAAATGAGGTCAATAATGAATAAACATATACACACATACGCGTTATCAAGACACTGTTACGACATACTGTATACTGGAAGCAGCCAATTCATTGCATAACTCTCGTATAACTGGCTCACTTTTATGATGTGCCGCGTTATCAAAGTTATCCGTACCCCGGACATGATAATATGTAGTGACATGACGGAAGACCAACTGACATGACGACTTGCCAAATGCAGATCTAGCACTGTGCTATCAGGGAGCCGGCGCTGTCTAGCTCAGTGTAAACAAGACCTTACGCACACTGAGGGTGGAGAGCATTGATCAGAACCAGGGCAAACTCAGCAGAAGCCAGATCACTCATTCACTCACTCAGAACTGGAAAGTCAACGGGAAAGGGGAGTCATCCAGAGGCCGGTGCCGGGGCTCAGAATCAGTCATACGGACGAATACGGGGCCCCAGCGCCGAATCTTGGTGGCGATTCGAGTAGCTTCTGCCGGCGTCTCTCCCGCTGGACGCTGCCGGCCCAACTCACCATTACCTTTTTGTTTTATCGGTGGTCGGCGGGAAATGACATGTTGGTCAGCGTGATCATACAGTATGCGCCCCTCCCATCAAACAGTACGTCTACAGCAATCCCCTTCAGCGCCCGGCTCAGACACTGGGGAATGGGATTCGCGCAATCTGGACCTCCGTCGATGCAACGCTGATAGCGGCTTCACCGCCCGCTACCCTCCAGCGAAGTAACCTTTAGGCTATACTCTGGTGTTTCAAGGACAATGCTCATGTGTATTGCCCGATGCAGATCCCAACAAAGTGCTAACCAAGCTACCACTGGGCGTAGACAAGATGGTGTAGGGCCTCGAGGTATGAATGGAGCACTTGTTCACTGGCTGCAGCGATGGAGCGTAGTAATGCACATAGTGCGCATAGTGCGCGTGGCACCAGTGTAGAGTAGCCCATGCCATGGGCTAATCCATCCCATGCAACGACGATACGATGCTATCCCCAGGTTTTACTGGCTTGGCTCGGCAGCACAATCAAGACGAGAACGAGCTGTCAATTTCAAGGGTCCTTCGCTGTCCCCAACGAAATCCAACCTGGGAAATGCAGCTTCTGAGGTCCTACTCATTCTGAACTGAACAGTCTCGTGGACAGGAAAAGTGAGCCCATTCTTGACTATCCCGAATCCGAAATCAGGGTCTCGTTTTCTCTATCGCTATTTCGGTTTACAGTTTTGATCCGTCTCAAACGCAATTCGGGCTTTTTCTTGGATGATCGGCGCCACGGTGCAGTCCGAGTGACGGACGGACGGTGCTCAGCAATCGCTATCAGCGACTACGCAATTCGACTATTCAGAAAACTGATTGGGTCTTGTGCCACATTTCTCTCGTTCCTGGACTGGAAGCCTGCCAATTCTTCGATTGCAGAAGACCCTTGTTATCGCTGGCTATCAAGTCCCAAGTCTCCAACTTTTGCCGCCAGTCTCTTGTCGATCACCCTTCTGACGCCTTAACGCTTACACCCTTGCTCGTCTGCTAATCTAAGTTATCAGTGAACCAGTCCAGCGTGGTCACTGGGTCATGCACTCCTGGATCCTGCATTCCAGCGGGCATGCCCCCGGTGCCATGAGGACCCTTTCGTCTCAGGGACCAGATGAACTAACAAGACAATAAGACTCGGCCGCCAGAAGTAAACAGATGGTTTCTTCAGCCGCCGAGTGTGAATGTGTCATCCAACAAACGCCAGAAGCTTCCAAATATTGGTCAGGGACTAGGATTGTCCAAGGAGATCTTACTGTGTTGGTGTTTACACCCGTAAATAGAAAAGGGGCGTGCGTCAGAACAGGCTATGCTTCCAAGGCTGGGCTGGACAGGCAGGAATTGCGTGTAACGATCTGTCGTCAATCATCAAACGTGACTGGATGGACTTTCAAGGGTCCGTGTTGCTCAGCCATGCACAAATCTGTGCAAATCTTCACAAAATATCACCGTGACACGAAACAGCAGTGCACAGATAGATGGCTTGCCCTGCCAGGTTTATTTTACCGATCAGGACACTGTGATGCTACCCTTTTGGGAAGAAAGACAACAAAGAGCAACGAACCTTGAATTTCGACTCGACAGACGAAATGACGGCATTTCGTCTCCATCAGAGCGGGGTGCAAAATACATACGTGGACATGAGATTATTCAGGGAATATGGGATTACGAATCTCGGATGATGGAATTCTTCGAGATTACTCACCTACTTCGGTCTCCAGTCTCCATTATTCAAGCCAAGACAGATACTGTGCTGTACCTGTCTGTTTGGACGGACTTGACACTCGGTGCGGGTCCCCGGGCCTCGTGAGATCTGATGTTTGCTGTCCCCTTGTGGAGTCCGGGCAAATATGGAGACGGAATTCGACATCGGCGTTCCAAGGACAGGAGACTTGGGGAGTCGTGACTCAGTGAAAATGAGATATGGAGATGAGATGATGAACATTGGTCATGTCACGATGGTCACAGGTGAGTAAGTCTCTCGCTCTAAGCCTAGGTACATGTTGCACAATTGCACGTTGAAATTGTTCTAGACACGACTCCCTATTTCGGTAGGACGTGGTTTGGCTGTCTCAGTCACGTCGTTCCCGGCTCTGATTCGTTGTCATATCGGAAACACAATATTTACTTACATTGACAACATAACATGCTATTATGCGCGGATCTTGTCAACAAGGGCGGGGATGGGGGAGGGCAACAAGGGATATTGAGGGGAAAACTGAGACGCTGAAGGGATTGAATTTCATCATCGAGGATGATCTCCTGACTCAACAGACTCGCCATCCAGATATCGCGTGAGAGTTGCAGCTCTTGTCCAGGGTAGCTCCAGTACCGACAGTCATGGGATTGAATTGAAGCTCCAGCAAATTGTGACCCATCAGCTGGAAGTGAGGTGATGGGTCAGAACCTTCTTCATTCATCATGAAGTGGCTGGACAACAGAGTGACATGTGCAGCGGTAGGATGGGCCGCCTAATCACAAGTACCCCATCTACCACGAGGCCCAGAATTGAGACTCCACCAAATATGATGAGAGAAAAAGGACCCTACTGCGACTGTGGACAACACATATTTCTTTTCTTTCACCGTTGCCAGGGGCTGTCTCACTGCTGCGTTCCGGAAGCTGCATGAACTGGCCACTTCAGCTCGGGAACAGCAGGGGATCTGTTAAAAGCTCCGTATCGAGCTGCAGCTTGGGTTGCTTTGCCTCGGGACCACAGCCTGCAGTGACACGGAGTTTGGCGACAGCCAGCATAGCCTAGATTAGGCGTGTACAATGCTGAGCAGACCAGACCAGACCTTGAATACGACAAGATCTAGTTCGCAACCTGTGACATATGAACTGCCAGTTGTCATTTTCGTGAACAGGTTTCTAATTAGAGATCCATTGTAATCCTCAGAGCCTATCCAATTCACTCGGATCTGGCCGCCGACCCCTGTACCACAGCCAAGTTCTTCCATCCAGTTCTTTTACAGCAGCCCTCTTGACCTCTTCGCTGTACTTCTTACCCTGCAGTCAAGAAATGCTAATACGCTATTGGTCGGTTCACCTCGATCCAACCAACCTCACCATCTTGACCGCCTTTCCTCTAATGCTCACATGGCTGCAAACCAGCCCTCCATTCGCATTAGATTCGATCTACTATTGCATCTCATCAACCCACGTTCCCAGCTGCATCAAGCTTAACACGGATACCTCGTCAAGGATCCTAAACCTCCAAGGAAATCACCTCACCAAAAGGTGCCAAGCTAGATAGCGGCCCGCTCTTGAATCCAGGAACAAGGACCTTCTGCTGCCACCGCCGATATTGGGGGTTTTTTCTTTTTCCTTCACGCACGCTCTCTTCCTTACACTTCAAGATCGTAGCAGGGATCCCGAATCGGAATTGGTGTCTGACAGAATTTTCTTGTCATCTCTTCTTTCTCACTTTCGGTCTAATTCAACCGTTTCGTCTCTCATATTGGACGTGTCAATATTCAGGCCTGACCGCTTTCTCACAAACAACAACTCCTTTTCACGATGACGCTCAATCTCAATGAATTCGACGTCCTAGTGTTTGACATTGGTAAGATTTAACTGGCTCCACAGGTGCTGTTGGCGACTGCGTGTTTTGTTGACTGTAAGGACTCTTTTGGACTGAGTTGTCATACATTGATTATATTGGCATATGTTTTGTACCTTACTATACACTCGCGCTTTGCTTGGATATCATACCCTCAGAATAGCCATAATAACACATGATACAGAAGGAACCGTTTGTCCCATCTCCTTTGTCAAGGAGGTTCTCGTGAGTCGTCCCGTTCTCTTGTTTGTCTCACTTCACAACCGTTCCGATTTTACTCCCCTTACCCATGTACTACCTCCGTCCGTCCCTCTTACCGCCTCCGGGCCCGGACCTCCGTATGGATCCCACCAAATTTCGTCCCAGCCTCCTCTTCCGGACGTCCTCCGTCCAGCTGCCGGCCTTTGTACCCAGATCCCGGGTGTCGACGCTGCCGAACCAAGTTCTGCCAAGTTGCGCAAGTCTCGGGCGCGTGCAGCTGAAAATTTCAAGCCGAGCACTTCCTTCCCAGCCCCTTTGCACTCTTCACCGACTTTGCCCATTTCGTGATAGCATGCACGATGTCGACAACACTGCAGCCTGCTGACCAAGGTCTGTTTGTTGTCATCAGTTTCCGTATGCACTCGAGGCACTTCCCAAAGTGTTAGATCAAGAATGGGATAGCCCAGAATTCGCAAAGTACCGCGATGCCTTTCCCGAGGAGTATCGCAACTCGCGCTCTGACTTGGAAGCGCACGTCCGCGACCTCGTGAAGCGTGATGTCAAGATCGCCTATCTCAAGTCGCTCCAGGGTTACCTGTGGCTGCAAGGCTACAAGTCGGGTAACATCGTGGCGCCCCTCTTCCCAGATGTTGAGCCCTTCTTCAACGAGGCCACCCAAGCTGGAAAGAAGATCATCATCTACTCGTCCGGCTCAGTCCCCGCGCAGAAGTTGCTCTTTTCACATACCAACTCCGGGAAGTCAGATATGACGCCTCTTATCGCAGACTACTTTGATACCACTAATGCGGGGCCCAAAACCGAGGTTGATAGCTACGCGAAGATCATTTCTGAGCATCCGGAACACAAGGACGTCAACCGATGGCTTTTCCTGAGCGACAATATCAGCGAGGTCAAAGCTGCTGTTGGGGCTGGTATGCGCAGTTTGCCCGTTGTTCGTCCTGGCAATGCGCCCTTGCCGCCAGACGAACCTCTGTCCAAGCTCGCCATTACCGAGTTCCAGCACACAGAGGTCGCTTCTTTGGGAGTATGATAGACGGCTGCAGCAAAAGGTCGCTCAGGGTGTGGGGAAATGATAATCGTCGAATAGCGTGGGACCTTTGTGCGGAGATGCAAGAGTAGTAGCTCGCTAGGGAATTCTAGTCCCCTCAAAAGCTGAGACCACCGTCCAGCTGATCCTGTCTACTGGTGATCTGGTGTCCCCAAGCTGCATAAGTGTCACCATGCACCTTATCAGTCGTGCGACGTAGCAAGTTGCAGATAGTCGATCCAGACGATACAGCACAGTACGCGCTCCTCAAGAACTGTGTAGATAGGATCCTCTTATCGAGAGTTAAACATTCGTACCGTGCCAGCTTATTGTCGCGTGCTCAAAACTCCATATGTTATGCCGTGCTGATAGTTTGTTGGGCAGTTCCGCATATGCAGCTATGCAGCTCGTCGAGGGCCCCACGCGTTGTCGTGTCTCCCCTCATCGCTTCAGTTTGAATGACTCGTCGAAGCTTTGAGCGTCATGACAAAATTGTTCCGTGTCCGTCCTGGATTGACTTCCTTCTTGGTAAAGTCCGGCCGCTTTTCGGACACAGTCCCGATCCTCTTCCAAAGAGTATATGCCAATTTCTGAGTCATCTTGGTCTTGGTGCATACATAGCCGAGAATTGTCATCAACTCCTCGAAGCGAGTTGCTGAAAAGTATCGTGAGTTGTCAACACAGCTGCGAGGTAGAACCACAAAAAGGCAGGGAAAGGGTTCGTCAGAACCAGTTGCAGGTTCAGCTGCAGGTCGAAGAAAGGAGAGAGTCCGAAGAAGCATCTGTCCACGCCCCTCGGCCTCAGGCACGAAGTTGAGCACTAGACTTAGAGAGATAATATCGAATACCTCAGAATCGTCTTTGGGCAGGGGGCGCTCCATGAAATCTTGCTTTGTGATGCCTGGCTCCTGGCTGTTAAGATCGATATGCTTCATAGTAAAGATACCGCTTGTTGAGCATGCGTTGCGAGTACTCAATGCCCCAACCTCCAGCATATGAAGCGTCTGAGCACGCTTCCTGAGCTCTGCCACAGGGAGCCATTCCAGAAGCACTCTTGACGTGTCACCTCCTCTATCGAGACTCTGACCTTGCAGACTGGCCTTCTGATAGTGGTCAAGACCACCCAGCTTGGCAATCTCTGAGGCGAGACGAGTTTCGGTGACCGTGTCGCCCTTGGTTGCAGCTTGCCGACGTTGTTTCTCCAGTTGGTGATGAGTGTTGATGAGACTCCTGCTGGCTTTTCTAGACATTGAGCGCGAGGACTTGACAGTTGGCGGGCGGCTACTTGAAAGGCTCTTGAGCCTTGTTTGCTTCTGGGAAACCATTTGATGAGTGCAATGAGACTGGCCCTTGCGTGTTGACCTCTTGACCCCTTAATACATTGAAATCTGAAATGATTTTCATGTTAGTCTCGGTAGAGAGAGGGACAATATTGAAACCCACGGACTCTCAAATGGTGCAATGCAACTCCGAAGAGAAGACCCAGCAGATTATGGTGATCTATAAGGCCTCGAAGAGCATTTTGATTACTATTTATCGATCGAATGGTCCAAAAGCTCCGTTTGATTGAGTGCGACATTCATTCTCGATAACTTTTTGCAGTTGGCTTACATAAGGCAAATAGATTGATCCAGGCATCGGCCAATCATATCATGTAGAGGAGTGGGACCACACCTGCCCTAATTGCGAAAAATCACAAAAATAAATAGATTTTAAATCCGCGAACGTTTTTGTGAACCTTTGACCACTCCGACGACAACCAACACACCCGACAATCTTGTGCCCTCGACAACACCGACGCAATGGCCGCCAACAAGAAAGGTACGACATGATATGAAACAATAAAGAGGGAAGAGAAGAAAGGGGAAAAGAAGAAAACTGGACGGGCGAAAGCGAAATTGAGCAAGAATCTGAACGACGATGTTATGGCGACTCTCGAGAGATCAAATCATTATATCGCCTCGACGCAACTACATCAATCGGAACAATTACTATGACCGATCAGCTTGGCTCTTGCGTTATCGTCTTCTTCGCTTCGAGACCGCCGACCTTTCGACTCGATCCATCTTCTGATTATCCTCTTCGACTCTCACCCTCCGAGTTCATACTCTACCGCATCATGCTACAGCAGATTTTGCGAGTTCTGAATAAGAGCGAATGCTGATGCTTTCAATAACAGTTCAGCCTAAGGGCAAGGGTAACAAGAAGGCCCAGGACGCCGCCAAGGCCGCTCTCAAGGGCGTAAGTTGAAAACATTTTACTGAAGTCAACCGTTCAATATGCTAACTGAATGTCAACAGGCCAACTCCCACAAGAAGGTCAAGGCTCGCTTCAGCACCTCCTTCCACCGCCCCAAGACCCTCATCACCTCGCGAGCCCCCAAGTACCCTCGCCGATCCATCCCTCACCAGCCTCGCCTCGATGAGCACAAGGTCAGTCCCACCTAGAGTCAGATCTGTTGGGGAAGCAGTTGTATTAACCACAGTCTAGATCATCGTCCACCCTCTCAACACCGAGAGTGCGATGAAGAAGATGGAGGAGAACAACACCCTCGTCTTCATTGTCGACATTAAGAGCAACAAGTCAGTATTTTCAAGAACGATATCAGAGCAAAATCTAACCTCGATACAGGGCCCAGATCAAGCTTGCCCTCAAGAAGCTCTACGACATTGACTGTGTCAAGGTCAACACCCTCATCCGCCCCGATGGTACCAAGAAGGCTTACGCCCGCCTGACCCCTGATGTCGATGCTCTCGACATTGCTGCCAACAAGCTCTCTCTCGTCTAAAAATACCACCGGGCTTGTGGGTTTCTGGCTTCTCTGGCGTGTCTTTGGGTTGGTTTTTGGCCTGCTGAAAATGCAAGGCATGGGCATCGGAATAGGCGTAAAAAGAACTTCTCGTTGAGAGTGCAAATGATCATGAATTCAATACCACCCGGGACACGGCTCCGCTTAGTCGTCCAAGATGCTGCCTTGATATGATTTGAGTGACAACGCGTGAATGTGATTTGTAGCAAGGATCGCAGGTATCCTTTGCGTTTGCTTCCAAATCTCGGGGATCAGTTCGTAGAAATACGGCTGATACATTTGGTGACATTTAACCATGAATAATGTGCCAGTTAAGCCAAGACAAGCCAGAATCATTTTTTATGAACCGTTCCCTAACAATCAAGGTTGACGACTGTTTTTTGTAAATCGTTCGTAATGTACATAGCCCAATTGCTAGTCTCTTTAGCCAACAGAGCCCAAGTCGTCCGTCCTGGTCACAACCTGAATTTTCCACTATGACCACGGCCCGTCTATTCATACAAAAAATATCTCGTAATACATAGTTGAAATAATCTTCTTTTCATGCTGAAATCAGGTTCTTAGTTGCGCATGCCGTTCAGGTGCTTCATCGTAAGGTAGTTGACGTCAAGAAATCGCTCGACGCAGTTGGCGAGACATGTCTCCTCGGACTTGTCGAGCTTGGGGGTCTTGATGTTGCCGGGAATGCACTTGGTCCAGCACATTTGGGTCAAGCTATGTGTTTCTATAGACACTCCGTCAGCGATTCCGTATCCTAGTGCGTCTTCCTCGGTGTTGTACGTACGGGCTTGGATCTGGGAGCGCTGCTGCTCGTTGGCGAGGAACTGGCGGAGCTCGAGGCGGTCCTTGTCGTTGAGCTTCTCGAGGTCGGCGTTATCGATGGACAATTGTTGAGCGCTCATTTTGGCGATTGTGAAGAGATTGGTCGTGATTGGCGTGGGGTTGAAGTTGGTTTGTTGTAGTGTAGATTCTGCTCACAAGTTCAAGATTTTTGATGATGAGCAACCGTCTAATCAACTGGCCAATAATGGGTCATAGATGTGCTCGTAGTCCCACTCTTGGCTTTCACCAAGGGAGTCTAGGTATTGCCCTGCACTATCATCTTTTCACCAAAAGATACAAGCATGTTCGATTTGTATGACTGTTGCTGTTTATCGTGTAGATTACTCGAAGAAAGAATTATAAATCCGATGCATTACAATAGCTTGATACGCTGAGAAGCCTTTCACCATCACTTACAGCTCAAGACAGACGCCCCAGCGCCATGAAGCTCTATTAACAGTATCTAATTTATAAATACCAATAAGTAGTCATAATACCATTTTAAAACAATACTCATGTAACAGCTCTAGCCAGAATATGCCACCGAGTAACACCCTTCTATACTGGAAAAGAAACAATGGTAACGACCGACTGGGTTCTCAGAACCAACGTATGCATGCGTGTAACCTCCACATGCATCGCTTTCGCTAGATGTAACGCTTCCAACGGGCCAAGGCCATGAAAATGATGCACAGGAAAACCATGAAACTAATGATACCGAAGAAAGGAGCCAGGTTGTTTGCAGCAACGGTTGCAAACGGAACTGGCACGTTCATTCCGAACACACCACTGACCAAGTTAAGGGGGACCAGAATCGAGGCCAAGAAAGTGATTTTGCTCAGAACCTCGTTCGTATGTGTTCCTTGCGCAATGCTGTTGATGGAAACCGTGGCAAGATAGTTGCTGTGCGCGCGAGACAAAATCTTTTCGAAGTGTCCCAGGTTGGTGGCCATGGTTACAACGTGATCCTGGATGTCACCAAGATACATGCCTATGTCCATCCGTGGCGTAACCTTGTAGTTCTCGTTGCATCGCTTCGTGAAACCACGGAGAACATCTGCTTTGCCACCGAGGAGGCGAAGCAGGGCCAGACAATTCTTGCGAACCCGGCCAATGCGACGGAGAAACGAGTTAGAATCATCCTCACGCATGACGAATACTTCGTCTTCAATAGCATCCGCTTCAAGCTCAATCTGACGAATGACAGGTCCAAAGGAATCAACAATGTCGTCACTGTGTGCAATTAGTATGACTCTACAGGTCGTATTCATATGTAAACTTACATCAAAGCATAGCAGATCCAGTCGCTGCTGAGAGAGACATAATCCTTGAGAGCAGTGATTCGCTTACGAACCTGAGCCGCGTGCGAGTTGGGCTCAAAGCTGAAGCTCAGTGTGCCCTCGCGGAACACGATGACATACGTGTTGAAAGGTTCATACTCAATACCATCAGGCTCCTGAACAACTGAGAAAGAGCGGAAACAGGCAAAGTAGTACGAGGGGAAGAGTTCAATCTTCTCGCGAGCTTCCTGAGTGATGATATCCTCAATTGTCAGAGGATGGATTCCAAAAGCTTTGCAGATGCTCTGGACCTCCTCCTTGGAAGCCGCATTGACGTTAAGCCACCAGACACCATCTTCGTCTTCATCGGGAAGCTCGAAGAGACCTCGAAGGTCTTCTCCTGGGAGAACCAGATCGCCGAAATCGGCTGCGTGAATAGTTGACTCCCATGCCGAAGAGAAGAAGCTGAACCGGTTGGGGTCGATGGGCGCAGGCTGCTTTGCAGCAATTGACCCCTCGGCATGAGTCTGCGCTGTCTGGTTCGTCTTCTCACGGGTCATCGAGTCATCTGAGACTGGTTCCAGGATATCACCATCAACAGTGACCATCCGCTGGAGGCGCGATTCATTCTGCTGAGTTCGCAAATCCTCAAAGCTCTGCTTCTCAGCAGCGGCTGCGTTGCGCTCTGCCGCTCGCTCTGCCGCGCGTTCAGCTGCCTGCTCATTGATGAAGGTCTCAAGGTAGTCAAAGTCAATGTACAGGTGATCCTTGTGATAGCTCTCCTTGACAGGGAAGCAGACATCCTCCTCTGCAGTTGTGTTGGTTGAGAGGCTAGCGGCATCAATGTCGATGGTGCGAGGCTTGCTTCGGTAGCTGCGCTTGCTCGAGATAGACATGGCTCGACTGGCTACATCTTCGATATCAGGCTTGGTAGGTTCCGAGAACGACATGTCACGCTCTCGACGGCGAGCCTGGGCAAACGCCTTAACCGAGTTGGGTGGCGAGACAGATCGATCCGTGGAATCCACAGTAGGTCGGCGACTGCGACGAGCAGTAGGTGAAAGATCACCTACTTCCTCATCGATGATGGCCTCCTCGAAGTCGCGAACTACAATCGCAGGAGGGGCGGGGGCTTCAGGTTCGAGCTGTCGGGCACCATACAGACTGTCGAATGTGCCACGGCGAGGGCGCTCAACTCTGGTTGAACCCGACTGGTGACGGTGATCATCGAGCTCCGGGACGGGAGTGTCGTACCCAGACTGGGCAGCGGATTCTTCGTGGTCTGACATTTTGGCTTTTGGCTATGTTTTGTAGCTTGATATTGACTATATTGGCTCTAACGGTGGCCGTGTAGAGTAGATGGATACGTCTCGAGGAGGGCGGAAAGTGTATTACGGACTCTGTATTATAGTCCCATAGCTTGTTGTTGTTCCAATCAGTGTCGTCTGATATAGGCGGTTATAGACGTCGCACCCGGCGCGGCATGGGCGCGCCGAGTTGTTGTTTGTTCAAAACTGAGCTCTGCTCGGCGGTTATCGCCAATGGCTGCTGGTTGTTGAGAGTAAATATGTACTAACGGAAGATGAAGAACGGGTAATGCGATCTAAAGACCAGTTACGGGGGCTTCTTGTTTACTCCGCTGTAGACCCAGAAGCTGGGACCGAAGAGCGAAGGGAGGGAAACGTTTGAGAAGGCGAGTTGAGCCAACTTGAAAACTTGTATGGGATAATGGCGAGACGCCGATACTGGATGATGGCGTAGATAAAGCGGTTGCTCGGAGGTGCCAACAGTATTGAAGGCAATTGACAGAGAACAGAAGCCGGTTAATATTCGATAAAGGAAGCTTCGCGATAAAGTCCTCGGTTGGCGCAAGTGGATTTCGATCTCAGGAGTTGAGTCGGGCTGATTTATTTGTAGTAACCAGAATTTGTTTTGGACCTTGGCAGGGAATAAAGGCAGGGTGACGATGCCAGGGCCTATCGTATGAGGGAACTAAGGTCAAGGGCCAATTTCGATACTGGCACGGTTAGCCAGACGAGAAATTTTCTCGCTACTGGACAGAACAAAGACCCGGTTAATAGTGCACGGGCAAAAGAGACATGAGTGAATAAGAAAAACAAGTAATGTTGGGTACAAAATGAGGTCTTAGTGTCGACAACGACGATGTCAGGGTGAAGTTGGGTTTAAGAGGAGTCGAGGAACTTAATATACTATAAGTGGGAACCGAAGGGCTAGGAAGAAAAAAATTGTCTCTGGTGGTATCGAGTGTCGGGTACCGAATCGCCGTGTGCTATCACAAGCAAAAAATAGGTCATCCAGGTTGACTCGTTGGTTTTTACAGGCCAGTCAAGATGGGAAGAGGCCGCCACTTTTCCTGTCTTGGGACACTTGCTTCTGCAGAATGAGCTTGGCCTGGGCCATCGGTGTCCGTGTCCGTGTTAGATATCAGGCTTGTCCTTGGTCAGGCCTAGTTTAGAACCTAGGAACTCCCTGTTGTGCCTGTCCGGCTTTGAGAGCCGATTCGCCACTGTCGGGTGGTGTAGGGTAAGTTATCAGGAACCTCGATCATCTCAGCTGATTGAGCAGCAGAATGACTGATTCCCCGGAGCACCACCACATTAATCCCAGTAAATAACTAGGTACCTGACTTCAAACGTTATCTTTTGGCAGAGGATCAGATCAATGCATTCAGAGTGTCGGGTCGTAATTTGATCATCAGGATATTACTCACACTTATTCATGGTTACGACATCTTGGTCCTCATTCGCTTATACATCGAATCTTCTCTAGCCGACAAAAGCTTGTTTAGGTACCGAAAGCGGACTAGTCTATGAGCCTCCTAACAGCCAGGTGTCGAGACCAATTCCTAACTTGACACTATTGGCGATCGCATTCACATTGATCTCAATTCGACGGAACAACATCTCCAGACACAGTACAAACACAGGACAAATACTCCCACCCGATCATTATCCATTATGGCTGAACAAGCTCTTGATCAGATCCGAGACCTCGTCGATGGCCAAATTGTACACGATCCCGCCCGTCGATTTACCTGATCAACAGCTGACTGAAGCACCACTGTAGGACTTTGAAGGACAGAAGCTCGCCGAGCTCCTTGCTACAGTTCTCCTTGTTATTTCTGGCGTACGTCTTATTCCTCTCCAAGCTATGCCTGATAACTCGCTGGATTGTTTGGCTGATGATTATAACTAGCTGATCTCCTTCGTTGTCGGCTACATCCTCCAAGATATCAAGCTCGCGGTCTACCTAGGTCTAGGAGGCACGGCATTAACCTTCCTCGTTGTGGTGCCGGCCTGGCCCTTTTACAACAAACATCCCGTCAAGTGGCTTCCAGCGGGGTACGCATACGATCTTGCAAGCAAAGGAAATCAATAGATTGTGTACCGTGCACTGGGCCTCGCTGTGTCATGACCTCTGCAGCCTCTCGAGGCTGATTATGACACCTAAATAATACTGTTTCCTTGCAGATGCCTTGTTCTTTTCTTCATAATCCATCATGTTTGGATACCGACCGTGTTCTCTTTATCGGCCGTACTTCTGGAACTCCCAGTCTCTGTTGTCCAAAGGACAAACAGATCGAGCCTTAAGCCATCTCGAAATACAGTGAAAGTGGAACGCATGCTGTCTCTGTTAGCCTAATGACACGAAAAGAAAGGGCGCGTAGCAGTCTTACGTTGCATATTCCCCATGCCACGGTGCACTCTTCGCTGGTAGCAGATGCTTGGTTCGCCTGGCATTCGATGCCTGATAATTTGTGAGCACTCTGTAATATACATCTAATAAGAATCCGAGTAAACATACATAGATCCATGATGTGGTTTCGGCAGATAGCACAGTTGTCAACAACGATGTCCCATGCCCAAAGAGCGACCGCATTCCACTGTTGGTTTCCGGTCAGCATGACTCCAGGAGGTTCACAACTGGCAAGTCTGTACCTTCTTGACTTCAAACTTCTTCTTTCCCTCGACACTCTTGCTGCTAGAGCCCTCGCCCTTCTTAGCGACGGGCGCATCGCTCATCTCAACGTCGGCCATGTTTCGCGTGGGGCTGGTCAACCTGCAAGACCACGCTGTGGTTGGTTTCTTTGACGGATATCGAGGTACACTGGTTGGCTAGAACAGTCAGAACTATCCATACGTCGTTAATCTTCGCGGACAGAAAATGGGACATGTAGCGCGCAGTTTCGGGTTGAAGGTAAGGAGACATACGGATATTGGTTGCTCGATAAATCAATATCTCTGAAGTTGTGAATGCTTGCAATTGTCAGCAATGACTCCAACGAGAAGAGGATAAACAAAAGCTGCGGGCACGATTTGCTTTTGTAAAGAAAACGTACCTTGATGGTGCAGTTGCGAGGAAGCAAGGGGACTGACTCACAGTGAATTTGGTTCCTACCTAGCAAGTGATGATGCGGCTCTGAACGTCTACTCTAAAGGCTCCGGATGCTGCAGAGCTCCTCTACTTAGTAGTTAGTAGGTAGGCGGACAGGCAGCTGGAGGAGTTCAAGCCTTAGGTCACCTCACCTAATTCAGGCTGCGCCCGGCGGGAGGGTGGCGGGGCGGGGGTTGATCACAGAGGTCCTATCGCTTATCAGTCGTGATGGGACTTTCATTCGCTGGAAACGAAACATATAAGTTTTACACACATGATATACTCTTATTTGACTGCTTTTTTAGTTTTGCATCAGTTAATTTGAATTTTAAACGTATTCTGAAATCTCTTCGGAGCAGTTGATTGGAATACACGAGTCAAATGATAATAAGGTTCTCTTGATCCAAAGCAAGGCTGTGAGATGCGACACCCATCCGCTTCAGGCGCTGAAGCTAAACGCTGGCCTGACCCACTCTTTGTGCTGGCAATGCCTAGAATCCGCCCGCGTCATTGCTTACCTACCTATAGGTAGCTTTGCTTGGACCGGGCATGCTTTGCGCTTAACCTGACGGTACTGCCCTGACTGACTCTTATTAACCCAGACGCTTCCGCCCTTCACTTCTTTTGTTGTTCCCCCTCATTACTTGATCTTGAATCATCCACATCTCACTTTCTCCTACAGTACAGCCATGGTCAGACCAGTCGACTCTCTCTTTACCAGAATAGTAGTTGCTTTATGCTCAATCGTAACCCCTGCCTCGATTTTATATTCTCTTTCATACACCCCACCACCATCTTAATCCGGCCCGATCTTTTGGAGTCCTCTTTGGCCCTGTCGCATAACCAGATACCAACGAACGCCTCGTACAATCAATCAATCAACCAGCCAGCCGGCCAGCCAGCTGCTCATCGAACAACTCCGGGACATCGCATATTCGACTCGACTGTTGTCTAGTCTCGGTCTCAGCCTTAGCTGACTCTCATCTTGTGTCTTCCCTTGTGCTTTATCGATTCAACCTGTCGCCACAGACGAAATGAGTGAGACCCCATCTCAGCCTATAACCACTCCCGCCCGCCGTCGTAACGGTCGCGGCAATGGCCGTCCTGCTGCTCAGAAGGCTTATGCCTCGGAGAATGACGTCGCCTCAATTGATCCCGCACGTTACGATCGCGCTCCACGAACTCCTCAGAAGGGAGCTGGTACCGATTCTCCTCATGCGCAGCTGAGCCATACCAATTCGAAACAGCGACCTAGGAATGCAAACAATAACAACAACAAAAACCGTGGAAAGAATGGTCCTCACTCACCTGAGTCAGCTCGGCCTGGTCGTCACACTCCACCCCATCAATCTTCATCCATGAAGTCGGTCTCTGCCTTTGCCGGAGCCACTTTCCACGCATCTCCTGCGCCATCTGCCCTGCCTCTCCCCAGTTTTGTCTCTCGTTCGGTAACCGAGTCGCCTAGTGTCAGCAAGACATCTCGAGACATCCTACAGGAACCTTCGCCACCTACCGATACTGAAGCGCCAACTCCTTTGCGCCAGAGTGCACCAGGTGTCCAGGAATCCCCGCTCGATTTCATGTTTCGTGCCCACCGACAAGAGAAGGAACGTCAACGCAGCGAAAGCACCAGCAGCTTCCGCCCTTCAGGCCTCGTCACTGAATCACCCTCTGCCAAGTCTCCCTTTGGGCCTGGTAGCATCCCAAAACCTGCAACTCTCCCTCAGACAGCCCGCACCCAAACACGCTTCCAGCCTGGTGGTATCGACAGTGTTGAGCTGGAAGGAACTCCAGGCCGTCCCATGGGGCCAGCATTTTCGACACCCTATCAAGAGCGCATTAAGGCTGCTCGCTCTAACTCTGGTCGATCTCCTGCTGATCTGTCTGCCACCCAGCCGAAACCCAACGCTGTACCTGAAGATCCTACTGAGGCCCTAAAGAAATTCCTATTTATCGGAAACGGAACAAATGTTTCTCAGTCTGCCCCTACTGGATTTGCACCTGCACCTGCGCCACCTGCGCCACCTGCTCAACACTACAACTATGCTAGGAGTGGTCCTAGTGTCCCGGCTCCTTGCGATGGCCGCTCAAACAACCTCCAAGCTATGGAAAACGATCTTCGGCGTATTCTCAAGCTGGACTTGAGCACTGGATCGCCAGGACCGGACCAGCGTTTGTTCTCATAAGAATTGATGTCATGGAGTGATCATTCGTTTGGCGTTTTTACTGCACCTCTTCTGCATAGCTTTTTAACTGCCATCAATTCCCAGGCGGCATAACGGAACGTGATATTTGGCGGGACGGTTTTCATTGTCTAGGGGTTAAGGTATAGCGGCATTGTGTCTAAGTTTTGGCGTTATCAGAGAGAGGATTGAGGATATATTGAACGGACGAATGGTCTGACAACAGATGATGGGATCATAACTTGACGTATACAGTCGAATCAAACAGAGGCATCTCTGATCTAGAGACAGATTGATCTCGCCGTATCTATGGCGCCTGTATCAAAATGGAACAGCCTCGATCGAATCGGGTTTGGCAAAGGAGAAGAGAGAATTCCCTCCTGTTTCTTTGGAACGTATATCATACGCGAGAGTAGACTTAAATACAATTTTGGCCGTTGATTTAACTTTGTTGATTCAACGCATCAATTGATTCTTGATATTGGAAGAGTGAATTGCTTAGGCATATCCGATGAATAGGTAGATACGATCTTGTGTAGGGCCATACCAACCTCAAGGAACTGAAACAGATCGACGTAGTGAGCCAAGCTCTCATACAGCATACCCCTAGGTGCCATTCTCTGTCTCTGACTGTTCCTAGATCCACTGACTGGGACTTACGCCTGGAACATATTCCTTACTTACAGCGCCAGCACATTAAAATAGGGATGAACTGAATGCCTTCAAAGTCTGGGGTGCGGCTTGCTTCGGGGTAGCGGTCATTCCAAAGATCCGCTTCTGCCCCGCCATTCAACCCACACTTGCACCTCACGCTTGCCCGCACTCATGGATACGTACCTGCTTGATTGACACTAGGTAATGGAACACCTCACTTGCCTCAGGTTCCCTGCTCTCGTGACGCGAAACTCATCGACCTTTGATTTCACAGCTCGATTCTCTGTAACTGAGGATAGCTTCATCAGTCTCGTTTCTTTTTTGTTTGTGGGTGGTTGTGTTCGTGTATTTCCTCGCTGTGCAACATCAATTCAACTTGTACTATCAAGGTAAGTGAGCCAAACCAACAAAAGATCGTCCAAAGCATGCAACTTATCTGGGTCATGACTCCATACCCAAGCCCCTCATTAGCTGTCCTCCTCATAGTTACTCTTCCCCCATGATACTCAAACCTCACTCTTGTGCGAATGTTTGAGCCTCTGCTGAATTGCCCTTCCCAGTTCTCAGATTGCTCTCATCGTATCTCTACAGCCGCCTCTCAAAATTCGAGATACCTCTTGTCACTGACCCTGTACTGACTCTTATCTGTGAAGACCTTAGAGTCCTGAGCTCCCAGTTCGCTCTGTTGCTTACATCCAAGCCTTGAGTGTATTTATCCCTATTCAAGGTGTCCTGTTGCCTGCGTCTGATTGTCAATGCTTTTTCAGACTGCGACTTCACTCCTCCGTTCAGCTCCACGACGATTAGCCGCAGCTTCACGCCTATCCTCTCGCCGTTGGACCTCATCTGAAACTATGGCCAAGCTTGACACCACCTCCAGGCTCACCCGCCTGAGAGGCTTGATGAAGGAGCGTAATGTTCAGATTTATAGTGAGATTTCACGATCTACACCTGCTATTCACTACTCCAGCACTAACAATGGCTTGTAGTTGTCCCTTCTGAGGATAGCCACTCGTCTGAATATATCGCAGATTGCGATGCCAGACGTGCTTATATCTCTGGGTTCACTGGTTCTGCTGGATGTGCTGTTGTTACACTCGAGTCTGCTGCTCTTGCTACTGACGGTCGTTACTTCAACCAGGCCACATCGCAACTCGATAGCAACTGGACACTTCTTAAGCAAGGCCTCCAAGACGTTCCTACATGGCAAGATTGGTCTGCTGAGCAGTCTTCTGGTGGAAAGAATGTCGGCGTTGACCCAACACTCATCTCCGGCTCAACTGCCAAGAGCCTGGCCGAGAAAATCCGAAAGAATGGCGGAGCTGAGCTTGTACCTGTTGATGGAAACCTTGTCGACCTGGTATGGGGAGATGAGCGTCCTTCCCGTCCCTCGGAACAAGTCATCATTCAGCCTGACGAGCTTGCAGGAGAGTCTGTCCTGAACAAGCTCACCAAGGTCCGCCAGGAGCTGGAAAAGAAGCACTCCCCTGGTTTCTTGGTGTCCATGCTGGATGAGATCGCCTGGCTGTTCAATTTGCGCGGTAACGATATCCCTTACAACCCCGTCTTCTTTGCCTATGCTACTGTTACCCCTGATGCTGCTAAGCTTTACATCGACGAAGCCAAGCTGGACGACAAGTGCCGCTCGCATCTCACCTCGAACAAAGTCGAGATCAAGCCATACGAAGCTATCTTCGATGATGCCCAGGCACTGCACGCCGCTCATGCTGAAAAGAGCAAATCCGGCGACAAGGTTCCTACTGGCAACTTTCTCATTTCCAACAAGGGCTCATGGGCTCTTAAGCGTGCTCTGGGAGGAGACTCTT